TTCACATTTATTGATTCAGTCCTGAGCAAGTTCTATGCCTGGGCAAAATCATGAGTGGGAACTCAATCTGAGCAATGTTTAGAAATAATTTCTGAGGGCCATTGTGGCATAGCAGGTAAAGCCACCACCTGCAGTGCCAACATCACTTATGGCCACCAGTTCAAGTCCTAGCTGCTCCACTTCTGATCCAGCACTCTGCTATGGCCTGGGAAAGCAGTAGAAGATGGCCCAAGTCCTTGGACCCCTGTACCCATATGGGAGACCTGGAAGAAGCTCCTGGCTCCTAGCTTCAGATCAGTACAACTCCAGCCATGACAGCCAATTGGGAAGTAAACCAGTGGATGGAAGACCTTTCTCTCTTTCTCTCCCTGCCTCTCCTTCTTCTCTCTCTCTGACTTTCAAATAAATAAATAAATCATTTAAAAAAAAAACAGAAACAGGCTGATGCCATGGCTCAATAGGCTAATCGTCTACCTTTGGCACCGGCACACCTGGTTCTCCTGGTCGGGTGTCAGATTTTGTCCCGGTTCCCCTCTTCCAGGCCAGCTCTCTGCTGTGGCCCAGGAGTGCAGTGGAGGATGGCCCAGGTCCTTGGGCCCTGCACTGCATGGGAGACCAGGAGAAGCACCTGGCTCCTGGCTTTGGATCAGCACGGTGTGCCAGCCACAGCACACCCCCACGGTGGCCATTGGAGGGTGAACCAATGGCAAAAGGAAGACCTTTCTCTCTGTCTCTCTCTCTCTCACTGTCCACTCTGCCTGTCAAAAAAAAATTAATGTTAAAAAAAATAAGTTTCTGTATGTTGCCTAATTAACAAGTACTGAAGGAACTAATAAGTGCATGAAGGAAAAGGTATGAAAGTGTAGAGAAGGACAAGTTAGAATTGGGGAATGTATCAAACCTAGATAAAAGCCTTAGTAACATCAGAAAATGACTGGATTTTTTTTTTTAATCAAAGACATCTTCACTAAGAACAAAGTTAGAAGATACTGGTATCTCTAAATGCCTGTGTCTGATGCACAAAACCAGCTGTCATCAGGAGTAAGGCTTGAGAAAATTCATGGAAAAACCAGTCACATCTGCCACTCTGCCTTGGCCTCCCTGTCTCTTATGTGCAGACTGACCTGAAAGGCTCTGATTCAAGCATTCATCCACCATCCATGGCTCTTCTCCTCGCTCCAACTTGAAGATCAAGTCAGGTTTGGTAATGCAGTGCCCTATTAATGGAAACAAAGTAAGACTTTGTAAATCACTATCTTGGGTTATTTAAAGGACTACAGCTTGGTTCAGGAGCTATGCAACAAATGTTCCAATTTGAATCTTTTGTTAGATGGTAGATATTCAGATTATTCATGGACTCAAATTCTAATCCTGCCCAATATTAAACATTATAAAGTGTTCCCTTAGTCAAATAGCAAGAAAATGTTATCACTGGGCATGTGATGGGTGTCACTCACCCAAGGAGAACAGGTGCTGTAGGTCTCCATCACATCTCTGTACAGGATTTCTGAGCATTGTTCATGTTCTGCCATTCCTCCCACGTAAAGTACACAGCCAGGTCTTCAAATGCTGTCATCACCTATAATAATACACTTCCAGTCAACATGTTAACTCTATCACAAAATAAACACTGACAGTTGTGTATGGATATGAAGGAAAAAAGGAAGGATATGGTTTCACATTAGACTTGTGGAGTGTTTAGAAAGCCACACAGCATTCAACAGAGTCAAACCCATGATCTACAGGCTGTGAGAAATGCCCAACTAGAGGGAAACAGGAGGTTCAAATCACAAAGCCACATCATTCAAGGGAATTGCACAGCAGGCTAGAAGAGGGGCAATACTGACTCTTGACTGGGCAATGTTAAGGAGAAGTATGTAGAAGCATTGAGAAAAAAAGGCAAGAAACCATCAGTGAAACTATGATGGGAATGAACAGAAAACAATTTCCAGGAAAACACCATGCATATCATTTCCAATATGTCAGAGAAAAATATATTAAAAGACAGGGCAGACATTTAGCTTAGTGTTGTTTATGATGCCACCTCAGAGTGTCATGACTTCCAATGCCAGCTGTAGTTTCTAGCTCCCAGATAATGCAAACCTGGGGAAGCAATGGTGATGTCACCAATGAAGGAGGCCTAGATTCCATTCCTCAATCCTGGCTTCAGTCCTGCCCCACCTGTTTGGTATGGTTATCTAGGAAGTGAATTAATGTGTCAAAGCTCTCTATCTCTCAGTCCATCAACTTTTTTCTCTATCAAGCTAATAAATATTTTTAAGTAAGAGAGAAAATACAGGTAAGACAAAGAATACAAATTAGCTTTTGCCCTTGTCTATGATTATTCTAGATAAACAATTGAAATAACATTATACCTAATTAAAGTGAAAGCAATGGAAATACTTGCCCAAAACATTCAAATGATAAACATTTGAAATGACATTATACATAATTAAATGAAAGCAATGGAATTATTTGCCCAAAAAGAGAACCTGGGAATGTCTGCAGTACAATCTGCATTTGTGACTCACTGAGAAAAATGCTTAGAGATTTGTTTCAGAACTTGCAATAGTCACCAGAATTGTGATCCAGCAGGCTAAGCCTCCACCATCAATGCTGGCATCCCATGTAAACAGAGGACTTGACTCCTTGCTGCTCCACTTCCAATCTAGTTCCCTGCTAATCTGATTGAAAGAGCAGTGAAAATGGCCTGAGTATTTGGACCCTTCCACCAATGTGGGAGACCCATGGAGTCCCAGGCTCCTGGCTTTGGCCTGGCCCAGTCCCAGCCATTGTGGGCATTTGGGGAATGAACACTAGATAGAAGATATCCTTTTGTCTCCCTGTCTCTCCCAATCTCTGCAAGTCCACCTTTCAAATAAATAATCTTAAAAAAATAAATGAGCCTCCAGTAGATTCTTTTCTCCACACATTCCTTATCCTATTCCAGAATCCAATTCAGCTTCTCAAAGGTATTAAGAACTCCATTACTCTAACAATTTGAAAACAAACTTAACTGATTTGTGTTCTAGCACTAGGTAACTCTTCCTCTTGCAGAATGCTAAGTGTTTACTTCATAGGTAGCACTAAAACACTGTTCAGTACATCTATGTGTAGAATGTTTCAGACATGACCCCAAAAATGTAGCATATTGTGCTTAGTTTCAACTCAATTCATGTAACAAATATATTTTGCTATAGCAACAGAAAGACAAGAGACCAAACTGCATTATTATAGATGACAGTAATGTTTCATAATCATGCCAAATTCATAATTCATTTCTGTATATTCTGTGATAACAAATTTTATGTTTATTTTTCTACTTTAAAATTTTTTAAAGATTTATTTATTTATTTGAAAGTCAGAGTTACACAGAGAGAGAGAGGCAGAGAGAGAGGTCTTCCATCTGCTGGTTCAGTCCCCAATTGGCTGCAATGGCTGGAACTGCTCCAATCTGAAGCCAGGAACCAGGAGCTTCTTCTGGGTCTCCCACATGGGTTCAGGGGCCCAAGGACCTGGGCCATCTTCCACTGCTTTCCCAGGCCATAGTAGAGAGCTGGAACAGTGGAGCAGCCGGGTCTCAAACCGGTGCCTATATGGGAAGTCGATGCTTTAGACCAGGGCATTAACCCACTGAGCCACAGAGCCGCCCCATATTTTCCATTTTAATTAGTATACTGGGACTGGCACTGTGGCTAGCAGGTAAAGCCACTGCCTTCAGTGCTGGCATCCCATATTGGTGCCAGTTCAAGTCCCAGTGGCTTCACTTCCAATCCAGCTCTCTGCTATGGCCTGGGAATTCAGTAGAAGATGGCCTAAGTCCTTGGGCCCCTGAACCCATGTGGGAGACCCAGAAGAGCTCTTCACTTCTAGCTTTGGACCAGTGCAACTCCGGCATTGCAGCCATGGGGACTGAACCAGCAGATGGAAGACCTCTCTCTCTGCCTCTCCTCTCTCTGTGTAACTCTGACTTTCAAATAAATCAATAAATCTTTAAAAAATTTTAAAGTAGAAAAATAAACATAAAATTTATTATCACAGAATATACAGAAATGAATTATGAATTTGGCATGATTATGAAACATTACTGTCATCTATAATAATGCAGTTTGGTCTCTTGTTTTCTGTTGCTATAGCAAAATATATATTTGTTACATGAATTGAGTTGAAATTAAGCACAATATGCTACATTTTTGGGGTCATGTCTGAAACATTCTACACATAGATGATGTACTGAACAGTGTTTTAGTGCTACCTATGAAGTAAACACTTAGCATTCTGCAAGAGGAAGAGTTACCTAGTGCTAGAACACAAATCAGTTAAGTTTGCTTTCAAATTGTTAGAGTAATGGAGTTCTTAATACCTTTGAAAAGCTGAATTGGATTCTGGAATAGGATAAGGAATGTGTGGAGAAAAGAATCTGCTGGAGGCTCATTTATTTTTTTTAAGATTATTTATTTGAAAGGTGGACTTGCAGAGATTGGGAGAGACAGGGAGACAAAAGGATATATCTTCTATCTAGTGTTCATTCCCCAAATGCCCACAATGGCTGGGACTGGGCCAGGCCAAAGCCAGGAGCCTGGGACTCCATGGGTCTCCCACATTGGTGGAAGGGTCCAAATACTCAGGCCATTTTCATTGCTCTTTCAATCAGATTAGCAGGGAACTAGATTGGAAGTGGAGCAGCAAGGAGTCAAGTCCTCTGTTTACATGGGATGCCAGCATTGATGGTGGAGGCTTAGCCTGCTGGATCACAATTCTGGTGACTATTGCAAGTTCTGAAACAAATCTCTAAGCATTTTTCTCAGTGAGTCACAAATGCAGTTTGTACTGTAGACATTTCCAGGTTCTCTTTTTGGGCAAATAATTCCATTGCTTTCATTTAATTATGTATAATGTTATTTCAAATGTTTATCATTTGAATGTTTTGGGCAAGTATTTCCATTGCTTTCACTTTAATTAGGTATAATGTTATTTCAATTGTTTATCAGTAGAATAATCATAGACAAGGGCAAAAACTAATTTGTATTCTTTGTCTTACCTGTATTTTCTCTCTTACTTAAAAATATTTATTAGCTTGATAGAGAAAAAAGTTGATGGACTGAGAGATAGAGAGCTTTGACACATTAATTCACTTCCTAGATAACCATACCAAACAGGTGGGGCAGGACTGAAGCCAGGATTGAGGAATGGAATCTAGGCCTCCTTCATTGGTGACATCACCATTGCTTCCCCAGGTTTGCATTATCTGGGAGCTAGAAACTACAGCTGGCATTGGAAGTCATGGACACTCTGAGGTGGCATCATAAACAACACTAAGCTAAATGTCTGCCCTGTCTTTTAATATATTTTTTCTCTGACATATTGGAAATGATATGCATGGTGTTTTCCTGGAAATTGTTTTCTGTTCATTCCCATCATAGTTTCACTGATGGTTTCTTGCCTTTTTTTCTCGATGCTTCTACATACTTCTCCTTAACATTGCCCAGTCAAGAGTCAGTATTGCCCCTCTTCTAGCCTGCTGTGCAATTCCCCTTGAATGATGTGGCATTTGTGATTTGAACCTCCTGTTTCCCTCTAGGTTGGGCATTTCTCACAGCCTGTAGATCATGGGTTTGACTCTGTTGAATGCTCTGTGTGGCTTTCTAAACACTCAACAAGTCTAATGTGAAACCATATCCTTCCTTTTTTCCTTCATATCCATACACAACTGTCAGTGTTTATTTTGTGATAGAGTTAACATGTTGACTGGAAGTGTATTATTATAGGTGATGACAGCATTTGAAGACCTGGCTGTGTACTTTACGTGGGAGGAATGGCAGAACATGAACAATGCTCAGAAGATCCTGTACAGAGATGTTATGCTGGAGACCTACAGCAACCTGTTCTCCTTGGGTGAGTGACACCCATCACATGCCCAGTGATAACATTTTCTTGCTATTTGATTAATAAGGGAACACTTTATAATGTTTAATATTGGGCAGGATTAGAATTTGAGTCCATGAATAATCTGAATATCTACCATCTAACAAAAGATTCAAATTGGAACATTTGTTGCATAGCTCCTGAACCAAGCTGTAGTCCTTTAAATAACCCAAGATAGTGATTTCACAAAGTCTTACTTTGTTTCTGTTAATAGGGCACTGCATTACCAAACCTGACTTGATCTTCAAGTTGGAGCAAGGAGAAGAGCCATGGATGGTGGATGAATGCTTGAATCAGAGCCTTTCAGGTCAGTCTGCACATAAGAGACAGAGAGGCCAAGGCAGAGTGTGTAGATGTTGACTGGTGTTCTTTCCATGAATTTTTCTCAAGCCTTACTCCTGATGACAGCTGGTTTTGTGCCTCAGACACAGGCATTTAGAGATACCAGTATCTTTCTAACTTTTGTTCTTAGTGAAGATGTCCTTTGATTAAAAAAAAAAAAAATCCAGTCATTTTCTGATGTTACTAAGGCTTTTATCTAGGTTTGATACATTCCCCCGATTCTAACTTGTCCTTCTCTACACTCATACCTTTTCCTTCATGCACTTATTAGTTCCTTCAGTACTTGTTAATTAGGCAACATACAGAAACTTATTTTATTTTAACATTAATTTTTTTTTTGACAGGCAGAGTGGACAGTGAGAGAGAGAGAGACAGAGAGAAAGGTCTTCCTTTTGCCGTTGGTTCACCCTCCAGTGGCCACCGTGGCTGGTGTGCTGTGGCTGGCACACTGTGCTGATCCAAAGCCAGGAGCCAGGTGCTTCTCCTGGTCTCCCATGCGAGTGCAGGGCCCAAGGACCTGGGCCATCCTCCACTGCACTCCTGGGCCACAGCAGAGAGCTGGCCTGGAAGAGGGGTAACCGGGACAAAATCTGACACCCCGACCAGGAGTAGAACCTGGTGTGCCGGTGCCGCAGGCAGAGGATTAGCCTATTGAGCTGCCACACCAGCCTGTTTCTGTTTTTTTTTTAAAGATTTATTTATTTATTTATTTGAAAGTCAGAGAGAGAGAAGAAGGAGAAGCAGAGAAAGAGAGGTCTTCCATCCACTGGTTCACTTCCCAATTGGCTGTCGTGGCTGGAGCTGTACTGATCTGAAGCTAGGAGCCAGGAGCTTCTCCCAGGTCTCCCATATGGGTACAGGGGTCCAAGGACTTGGGCCATCTTCTACTGCTTTCCCAGGCCATAGCAGAGTGCTGGATCAGAAGTGGAGCAGCTAGGACTTGAACTGGTGGCCATAAGTGATGTTGGCACTGCAGGTGGTGGCTTTACCTGCTATGCCACAACGCTGGCCCTCAGAAATTTATTTCTAACACATTGCTCAGATTGAGTTCCCACTCATGATTTTGCCCAGGCATAGAACTTACTCAGGACTGAATCAATAAATGTGAACTCTCTCTTTCTTAGTCTCTTTCTTTTTTTTCCTCTGTGCTTCTAAAATAAATAGAAAATTATAGTCTGTTGGAAACATTTGAGGAGTGAGCCTACAGTTGGCAAACCTCTGTTTCAGTCTGTCTTTATCTCTCATTCTGTCTCTCTGACTCTCAAGTAAGTAAATAAGTAAATGCTAAAAGATGGTCATGTGGCTGGTGCTGTGGCACAGTGAATTAACACCCTAGCCTGAAGCACCAGCATCCCATAAGGACACCAGTTCAGGACCCAGTTGCTCCACTTCCGATCTAGCTCTCAGCTATGGCCTGGGAAAGCAGTAAAAGTCCTTGGACCCCTGCACCCAAGGGAGACCCAGAAGCAGCTCCTGGCTCCTGGCTTCAGATCAGCACAGTTCTGGCCATTGTGGCCAATTGGGGAGTGAACCATTGGATCAAGACCTTACTCTCTTTGCCTCTCCTCTCTCTGTGTAACTCTGACTTTCAAATAAATAAATAAATCTTTAAAAATAAAAGATGGTCATGAGTAAGCCTCTGTGCTGTGACATCAGAAATTATGAAGCTAGGAATGACACTGTGGTGCAGTGTGTTAAAGCTCCAGCCTGCAACACTAGCATTGCATATGGGTGCCAGTTCAAGTCCCAGCTGGTCCTCTTCTAATCCAGCTCTCTGCTAATGCACCTGCAGAAGGAGCAGAGGTTGGCCCAAGTCTTTGGCCCCCTGTACCCATGTGGGAGATAAGAAAGACACTCCTGGCTCCTAACTTCATTTTGGCCCAGCACTGGTTGTTGTGCCCATATGGGGAGTGAACCAGCAGATGGAAGACTTCTCTCTGTCTCTCTCTCTATAATTCTAGCTTTCAAATAAGTAAAGTAAATCTTTGAAAACAAGAAATCATAAACTAAGCATGAGCTTACATAAAACATGAAAATAAGTGATCCTAGACTCACCAAGAAAGTAATGAGATTTTGAGACCCAAGGTCAAGTAGCCTCGTGGGGTTATGTTGAGTGGCTCAGATTTCTTTAAGGGTGGAGTTTGAAGTATGATTTCTCTCCTATTTTTCAGTATCATTGAAAAATAAAGAAACAAAAAGATAAGGAAAGCATAGGAAATGAAGCTTTCAGTGAAAATAGGAGGCAACTGATCAAAAGTCTCCAGAAATTCAAATTATCACACAGGAATGTTTCTAGAAAGAATTTAAAGGAGGTAACCAGCACTGATGATTTCAGAATGAGTTAGAAAACACTTTTCAAAGAAGATGAGCACATCCCAGTTTGCAGAAATAAATTTTTCAAACTGATTGGGAGCATTTAACTAAAGTGGTATATTGGGAATTTTCTGTACCTGTTGTACTTCTGAGAAGCTGAAGGTGTTGGGTGTCCTTAGGAATTTGGGAAAGCTGTCATAGAGTAGAGACAAAGTAGTTTTTCATTTGAAAAATCCCACAAATGACGTTTACCTAGGAAGACTGAGCAAGAGACACTCATAGATTCAAATCCTACTCCTTAAATGTTGTCCTGCTTAAAGTACAGGCACATTTCACTCTTCTCCACCTGCAAGTAAATTATCAGTAAAACTTTTTCATGTTTATGGTTGAGATATCAGAGAAGCAAAAAGCACACAATTTTTATAAAAATAAACTGGAGAAAAAGCACAGGGAAAAAAATGGTTGCTAGGTAGTGGGTGAATATTTTTATTAAATATTTGCCCATTCTTTAAAATATTTTATAGTTATTTCATCTTTGTGAAAGGCAGAGTGATAGTGAGAGAAGAGAGAGAGAGAAAGAGGTCCTCTATTAGCTCACTTCCCAGATGCCTGCAACACTTAGGTCTAGCTAGTCTGAAGCCAAAACTCTAGAATCCCTCTAGTCTTCCCTAGTTTCTCACAGGTTCCCAGGCACATGAACCATTATCTGGTTCCTTCCAGTTTACATAGGCAGAGAGCTGTACTGAAAGCAGAGTAGCCAGGGCTCAAACTGACACTGTTTTGAGATGCAGGCATCCCACACATCATAGCACAAAAGTCATTCTACCATCCTTGACAAACTCCCATAGTAAAAAGGATCATGTTTGAACATTGGGAAACCTTATGGTATATTAATGTATTAAGGAGAAAAACCATATAATGGTCACAAATAAGTACCTCATACTGATTTTGTGAACATCTTATGCCACTTGGATAACAAGTAACTTCATTCCCTTTACATGAGTATGCCAGGAGAAACAGTTACATGTGATTCAGTGACATGATTGCTTTTTTCTCATTTCAGTGGGCATGAAAAGGGATGACCTGATTAGGATCAACCAGGAAAGTCAGGACAACAATCTGAATCAGGATTTTATGAAAAATAAGAAGACATCAGCTCTCAAGAGAGTTGAATTAAGAAAAACACTTAGTTTAAATTCAAGCCATATTCCAACACTGATTATTCAAAAGGGAATCTATTCAGGATTGAAGCCTGAGGAATGGAATAAATGTCACACTGTGTATCCCCACAGTGGGCCTGATCAACTACAGGCTGGAGAGAAATTTGATAACACTAAGATACCTGGAAAATCTCTCCAGTTCTGTGAGCCTCTTGGTCAGCTTGACAATATTCACATGATGAAGCAGACATTTGGACCCACTGGACAAGCAAAAGTCTTCACAAGAAAGATGTTCTATAAATCTGAGAGGGTTCATATGGCAGAAAACTGTAATAAGTCAACTGTCACTTTTGGAAAAGCAACGCAAATAGAAAAAGCTATCCATGAAAATTCTAGCCTCAATATGCATCAACAAACTCACACAAGAAAGAAATTTTATAAGTACATTATGTATGTTGAACCTGTCATTCACCAGTCACATCTTGCAATAAACCAAAGACTAAATACAAGGGAAAAACTTTACACATGTAAACCTTGTGGAAAATCACTCAGTTTGAATTCACCTTCTGAATGTAATGACTGTGGAAAAGCCTTTGGACAAAAGTCAGTCCTCAGGAAACAACAGAAAGTTCACAGAGGGGAGAAACCTCATGAATGTAGTGACTGTGGAAAAGCCTTTACACAAAAGTCATACCTCATACACCATCAGCGAATTCACACAGGAGAGAAACTTCATAAATGCCTTCACTGTGGAAAAGGCTTTCTGTGGAAGTCAGACCTCATAGTACACCAGAGAAATCACACAGGGGAGAAACCTCATAAATGTAATGACTGTGGAAAAGCCTTTGGACGAAAGTCAGACCTCATCATACACCAGCAAATTCACACCGGAGAGAAACCTCATAAATGTAATGACTGTGGAAAAGCCTTTGGAAAAAAGTCAGCCCTCCTCATACATCAGCGAATTCACACAGGGGAGAAACCTCATAAATGTAATGACTGTGGAAAAGCCTTTGGACGAAAGTCACACCTCATCATCCACCAGCAAATTCACACAGGGGAGAAACCTCATACATGTAATGACTGTGGAAAAGCCTTTGGACACAACTCAAGCCTCAGGAAACATCAGCAAATTCACACGGGGCAGAAACCTCATAAATGTAATGACTGTGGAAAAGCCTTTGGACAAAATTCACACCTCATCATACACCAACGAATTCACACAGGGGAGAAGCCTCATACATGTAATGACTGTGGAAAAGCCTTTGGACAAAAGTCAGCCCTCCTCATACATCAGCGAATTCACACAGGGGAGAAACCTCATAAATGTAATGACTGTGGAAAAGCCTTTGGACACAACTCAGGCCTCAGGAAACATCAGCAAACTCACACAGGGCAGAAACCTCATAAATGTAATGACTGTGGAAAAGCCTTTGGACAAAATTCACACCTCATCATACACCAACGAATTCACACAGGGGAGAAACCTCATACATGTAATGACTGTGGAAAAGCCTTTGGACGAAAGTCAGCCCTCCTCATACATCAGCAAATTCACACAGGGCAGAAACCTCATAAATGTAATGACTGTGGAAAAGCCTTTGGACGAAAGTCAATCCTCATCATACACCAGCAAATTCACACAGGGGAGAAACGTCATAAATGTAATGACTGTGGAAAAGCCTTTGGACACAACTCAGGCCTCAGGAAACATCAGCAAATTCACACCGGAGAGAAACCTCATAGATGTAATGACTGTGGAAAAGCCTTTGGACGAAAGTCAGCCCTCCTCATACATCAGCGAATTCACACAGGGGAGAAACCTCATAAATGTAATGACTGTGGAAAAGCCTTTGGACAAAAGTCAGCCCTCCTCATACATCAGCGAATTCACACAGGGGAGAAACCTCATAAATGTAATGACTGTGGAAAAGCCTTTGGACGAAAGTCACACCTCATCATCCACCAGCAAATTCACACAGGGGAGAAACCTCATAAATGTAATGACTGTGGAAAAGCCTTTGGACAAAAGTCAGCCCTCCTCATACATCAGCGAATTCACACAGGGGAGAAACCTCATAAATGTAATGAGTGTGGAAAAGCCTTTGGACGAAAGTCACACCTCATCATACACCAACGAATTCACACAGGGGAGAAACCTCATAAATGTAATGACTGTGGAAAAGCCTTTGGACAAAGGTCAGCCCTCCTCATACATCAGCGAATTCACACAGGAGAGAAACCTCATAAATGTAATGACTGTGGAAAAGCCTTTGGACAAAAGTCAGCCCTCCTCATACATCAGCGAATTCACACAGGGCAGAAACCTCATAAATGTAATGACTGTGGAAAAGCCTTTGGACGAAAGTCACACCTCATCATACACCAGCAAATTCACACAGGGGAGAAACCTCATAAATGTAATGACTGTGGAAAAGCCTTTGGACACAAGTCAGGCCTCATGATACATCAGCGAATTCACACAGGGGAGAAACCTTATGAATGTAATGACTGTGGAAAAGCCTTTGGATGAAAGACAAACCTCATATCACAGCAGAGAATTCACACAGGGTATAAAACTCATGACTGTAATAACTGTGGAGAGCAATTAGCCGTAAGTCAACCTTCATCATGCATCAGAGAATTCACACAGGGCAGAAACATTATGAATGTAATGACTGGAAAAGCCTTTGGACAAAAGTCACACCTCATAATGCACCAGAGAATGCACACAGTATTGAAACTTCATGAGTGTAATGACTGGAAAAACTTAAGTTCCAACTCCAAATGCATCAGAGGATTCACACAGGGAAATAACCTTATAAATGTAATGACTGCAGAAAATCCTTTTTCTGTAAGTTATACTCATATCAAAACAATTCACACAGGGCAGCACTTCAGGTCAGGGCATTAACCTGCTGTGACACAGTGCTGGCCCCTGTAGTACACTTTTGTATTAATTTAACTTATAATTTTTTATAACCTTTTTTGTTGCATTATTCCCTGCTCCTGCAGGTGGCCCTCATTTTTATTGAAAATGTGTATTTTTATTCCTTCCAATTTACAAAGTCCTTTCTGGATTGATATAAATCTGATTTACATTCAGTTAGTTCCTCAGGATACCCTCAGGAGGAACACTTTTCCTAGGTTGCTTGGCTATCCCATGATAACAGGGCTACAAATGCTATGATGCATCTAGCTTCAGTAGCTCTTTTATTTCCCATCTAGATAATAGCTGTGCAACTAATCCATTCCACCTCCATTACTACCCATAAGAAATAGCTCTTCATCCCTGTTTAAGTCCCCACAGCTTCTTGCAAGTGTTCATCAAATTAAATCTTATTATAAACAGATTTAATAGAAAATGAATGATGTAGCTGCTGGTAGTTTCAGTGAGGTTGAATGATTTGCTGGACTGCTGTTTTGTCTGGGTTATCTTTCATATTACTTAGAACTAATTTTTCACAATATTACTTGCCTGAGCACTTTTTCCTAGGCTCCCAGCTAAACAGGTGTTTGAAGACTAGGTTTACTGTTAATTCTCACTAAGGACAGAGGTCCCACATTGAGAGCACAGATCCTTATGTGGTCCTTGGGACATAGTGAATATTATACCCACTTGATTTAGTACTCAGGCACTGGTCTCCATTGAAGAGAAGAACTCAGCTGAACAGAATATAACTCATTTCTGATTCAAAAAAGATTTACCATGCCAAACCTGGGTGTGTCACCTTAGACATACCCTTTCCCCTTGAAAACTGAACAGAGCTCTCTGGCCACACCCACTACAAGCCTCTAGAGATTCAGTAAAAGCAGAAAGTCCATTTATCTACAGTCATAATACAATGATAAAAACTGCCAGAAAAAAAAAAAAAAAACGAGTATTTCCACAAATGCCAAATGGAAGAAGCAAGAATAAGGAAAACATCATCATGCTCCCAAAAGAATATGGCATTTCAATACTAGGTCATGAAGATGATGAGAGAAGAAATGCAAGAAATAGAACTCAAAAATTTGGTCATAAGATTACATAGAAGTAATCAAAAGCAAATGCACAAACTACTGAAATCCATGAAGGACATGAAAGAAAATCTCTCCCATGAAGTAAAAATATCAGGAGGAATCAAGATGAAATGAAGAATTCAACAGAATATGAAACTGAGATATTAAAAGAAATCAAAATGAAATGAAGAACTCAATACAACAAATAAATGCAGTGGAGAGCCTTAAAAATAGAATCAGTGAGGCGGAAAAGAGAATACCAGACTTAGTAGACAGTACAGGAAAGTATACAGTCATACCAAACATAAGAACAGGAGATTAGAAACATCCTTGCCATAACACATTGTAATCAAACTGCCACAGTGAAACAAAAAGAGAAGAATCTAAAACGTGTAAGAGAGAAACATCAGATTACTCTCAGAGGATCTCCAATTAGACTCACAGCAGACTTCTCATCAGAAACCCTGCAGGCTAAGAGAAAATGGCAAAATCTAGCCCAAGTCCTAAGAGAATAAAGCTGTCATCCCAGATTATTATACCCTGCAAAGCTCTCGTTTGTGAATGAAGGTGAAATAAAGACCTTTCATAACAAACAGAAATTGAAAGAATTTGCCACCACTTGCCCAGACCAGCAAGATTTCTTCTTTTTATTCCACTGTGGTGGATTTTATTTTTGTACTATGACTCTAGATAAGTGGACTTTCTGCCTTCACTGAATCTCTGGAGGCTTGTAGTGGGTGTGGCCAGAGAACTCTTCAGTCTCCAGGGTTAAGGGTATACCTCAGGTGGGCATGTTAAGTCTTATTTCTCCTTTTTTTAATCAGAAGGGAAGTATATTATGCTCAGAACTGGAAAGTGAGGTGAGACAAGATCACAGTAGCCTGAGCCACCAGCAAAAATGTGGAGAGACACCAGCTAATCAATCAGGCTATTTGGGTTATATTACAGGTATTGTTAAAATGTGAAGTCATGCTAAATTTTAAGTTTTGATAATATAAAATGCCACTGATACAAATGTCTGAAAGTTAAAAAGTCTAATGATCTTGTGTTACTAGACACGATGGTTATCTTAATGAGAAAGGCCCAGAGGCCTAAAAGAATTAAATGTTTTGTAAAATCCTACAGGTGCTTTTGAAAATACTGTGTAAAGTAAGCAAATGTCTCTTGTTGGTTAATGAGTTTATCATGTTAAACATAGCTATTTAAAATCTTTTCTCATCCACAGTTTTGTATATCAGATTTGCTGCTCTAAACTAAAACATTGTTGGTTCTGTGTTTAGCTGCCGTCCTATAGGTTCTGATGGATTTTTCCCAGCCACTTCTATTGAATTCAGTAATTTTGAATTGTTCTGTAAACAGATGAAGTGAATAATGCACTACAGGTTCCAACTGGAAGAAAGTATGGTTAATCAAGTTTACCAAGAACAGAAAGTAATTTTAATTGGTTGGTAATAAAAAAATCAGCTAAAGATTTTAGGAAACTATTACTAAAACTTCTTTATTGTTCTACCTTGTATGTTGTGTTATGTGTGTGTTCATATTGTATGTCTACATGGGAAAATTTATTTTGAGCTCTATCTTAATTGGTTTATAAAGGAAAGATTGCTCATAAATTTAATAGCTAAAATTAATTGAAGATACATTTGATTCACGTGACCTAATTGTCAGATGTTTTAAATTTGTTGATAGAAACTAAAAAATGTTTTATGTTTCTGTTTGCTGTTTAAACAAGCCACTTCATATTAGATATTTAAGATATATTTAAATACATGTATTAAAATTTATAGAAGGCATTGGACCTACACTAATTATTTTATAAGCTATTATTTAATGGTCAAAACCACTTGCTAAGATTCAATTTGATATTGTCAGTGAGCATTCTGGCAAGCCTGACTTGCTCCCACATTTCTCTAGATGGGACACTGACTCTGTCCTGAGGGATTCCTCAAGATGTAGTTTGATTTTTAGATCTTATGAAAGGAGTGACTAACATATTCTGTGTAACAATATAGCCAAAATGAGAGCTTAAATCATAATTTCGCAGCTGGATTTACTTCACCAAGGGAACCCAAATCCCCTTGGGCTAGATGGTGAAAGTGACATCTTAAGTTTTAACATATATATATATATATATATATATATATGATTAAGTTTAAAAGTGACTATTTGATTGCATTAAGTTTTAGATTGGTCATATAGGAAACTGTGATAGTGACAGAAGTGAAGAATTCAATAGATCAAATGAAAAACACAATAGAGAGCCTTACAAACAGAATGGGTGAAGCAGAAGAGAGAATATCGGACTTAGAAGACAGAGAACAGGAAAGGATACAGTCAGACCAAAGAAAAGAAGAGGAAATTAGAAATCTAAAACATATTGTCGGGAATCTTCAGGATACTATTAAAAAACCCAACATTCGGGTTCTAGGAGTTCCTGAAGGCATGGAGAGGGAGAAAGGATTAGAAGGCCTTTTCAGTGAGATATTAGCAGAAAATTTCCCAGGTTTGGAGAAGGACAGAGAAATCCTAGTAGAGGAAGCTCACAGAACCCCTAATAAACACGACCAAAAGAGATCCTCACCACGACACATTGTAATTAAACTCTCCACAGTGAAACATAAAGAAAAGATCCTAAAATGTGCAAGAGAGAAATGTCAGATTACTCTCAGAGGATCTCCAATCAGACTCACAGCTGACTTCTCATCAGAAACTCTAAAAGCTAGGAGGGAATGGCGAGATATAGCCCAGGTACTAAGAGAGAAAAACTGCCAGCCCAGAATATTATATCCTGCAAAGCTATCATTTGTGAATGAAGGTGAAATAAAGACTTTCCATAGCAAACAGCAATTGAAAGAATTTGTTGCCACTCGTCCAGCCCTGCAAAAGATGCTTAAAGATGTGTTACACACAGAAACACAGAAACACGGTCATCAATATGAAAGAAGGTAAAGGAAGGAAACCTCACAGCAAAAGATCACAGGGAATTCAAAGCATATATTAGAACTTATCTTTGGCAAATGGCAGGGCAAAGTTACCACTTATCATTAGTCACATTGAACGTGAATGGCCTGAACTGTCCAGTTAAAAGACACCGATTGGCTGATTGGGTTAAGGAACAAAACCCATCTATTTGCTGCTTACAAGAAACACATCTTTCCAACAAAGATGCATACAGACTGAAAGTGAAAGGCTGGAAAAAGATATACCATGCCAAAAGAAATGAAAAAAGAGCGGGCGTAGCCATCTTAATATCGGACAACATAAACTTTACCACAAAAACTGTTAAGAGAGACAAAGAGGGACACTATATCATGATTAAGGGATCAATTCAACAGGAAGATATAACAATTATCAATGTATATGCACCTAATTACAGGGCATCAGTTTATTTAAAAGATTTGTTAAGGGACTTAAAGGGAGACTTAGACCCCAATACAGTAGTACTGGGGGACTTCAATACTCCACTCTCGGAAATAGATCATCCAGTCAGAAGATCAACAAGGATACAGTAGATTTAAACGACACTATAGCCCAAATGCATCTAACAGATATATACAGAACTTTCAATCCTACAGCTAAAGATTTTACATTCTTCCCAGCAGTACATGGAACCTTCTCTAGGATTGACCACATACTAGGCCATAAAGCAAGTCTCAGCAAATTCAAAAGAATTAGAATCATACCATGCAGCTTCTCAGACCATAAAGGAATGAAGTTGGAAATTAGCAACTCAGGAATCCCTAGAGCATACGCAAACACATGGAGATTGAACAACATGCTCCTGAATGAACACTGGGTCATAGAAGAAATCAAAAGAGAAATCAAAAACTTTCTGGAAGTAAATGAGGATAACAGCACAACATACCAAAACTTATGGGACGCAGCAAAAGCAGTGTTAAGAGGAAAGTTTATATCAATAAGTGCCTACATCAAGAAATTGGAAAGGCACCAAATAGATGAGCTTTCAATTCACCTCAAGGATCTAGAAAACCTACAGCAAACCAGACCCAAATCTAGTAGGAGAAGAGAAATAATTAAAATCAGAGAAGAAATTAACAGGATTGAATCAAGAAAAACATTACAAAAAATCAGCCAAACGAAGAGCTGGTTTTTTGAAAAAATAAACAAAATTGACACCCCATTGGCCCAACTAACTAAAAAAAGAAGAGAAAAGACCCAAATCAATAAAATCAGAGATGAAAAAGGAAACGTAACAACAGACACCACAGAAATAAAAAGAATCATCAGAAATTACTACAAGGACTTGTATGCCAGCAAACAGGGAAACCAATCAGAAATGGATAGATTCCTGGACACATGAAACCTGCCTAAATTGAACCAGGAAGACATCAAAAACCTAAACAGACCCATAACTGAGACAGAAATTGAAACAGTAATAAACGCCCTCCCAACAAAGAAAAGCCCAGGACCAGATGGATTCACTGCTGAATTCTACCAGACGTTTAAAGAAGAACTAACTCCAATTCTTCTCAAACTATTCAGAACAATCAAAGAAGAGGGAATCCTCCCAAATTCTTTCTATGAAGCCAGCATCACCTTAATTCCTCAGCCAGAGAAAGATGCAGCACTGAAAGAGAATTACAGACCAATATCCCTGATGAACATAGATGCAAAAATCCTCAATAAAATTCTCGCCAATAGAATGCAACAACACATCAGAAAGATCATCCACCCAGACCAAGTGGGATTTATCCCTGGTATGCAGGGATGGTTTAATGTGCGCAAGACAATCAATGTGATACACCACATTAACAGACTGCAGAAGAAAAACCATATGATTATCTCAATAGATGCCGAGAAAGCATTTGATAAAATACAACACCCGTTCATGGTGAAAACTCTAAGCAATCTGGGTTTGGAAGGAACATTCCTCAATACAATCAAAGCAATCTATGAAAAACCCACAGCCAACATCCTATTGAATGGGGAAAAGTTGGAAGCATTTCCACTGAGATCTGGTACCAGACAGGGATGCCCACTCTCACCACTGCTATTCAATATAGTTCTGGAGGTTCTAGCCAGAGTTATTAGGCAAGAAAAAGAAATTAAAGGGATACAAATTGGGAAGGAAGAACTCAAACTATCCCTCTTTGCAGATGACATGATTCTGTATTTAGGGGACCCAAAGAACTCTACTAAGAGACTATTGGAACTCATAGAAGAGTTTGGCAAAGTAGCAGGGTATAAAATCAATGCACAAAAATCAACAGCCTTTGTATACACAGACAATGCCATGGCTGAGGAAGAACTTCTAAGATCAATCCCATTCACAATAGCTACAAAAACAATCAAATACCTTGGAATAAACTTAACCAAGGACGTTCAAGATCTCTACGATGAAAATTACAAAACATTAAAGAAAGAAATAGAAGAGGATACCAAGAAATGGAAAAATCTTCCATGCTCATGGATTGGAAGAATCAATATCATCAAAATGTCCATTCTCCCAAAAGCAATTTACAGATTCAATGCAATACCAATCAAGATACCGAAGACTTTCTTCTCTGATCTGGAAAAAATGGTGCTGAAATTTATATGGAGGCACAAGAGACCTCGAATAGCTAAAGCAATCTTATACAACACAAACAAAGCCGGAGGCATCACAATACCAGATTTCAGGACATACTACAGGGCAGTTGTAATCAAAACAGCATGGTACTGGTACAGAAACAGATGGATAGACCAATGGAACAGAATTGAAACACCAGAAATCAACCCAAACATCTACAGCCAACTTATATTTGATCAAGGATCTAAAACTAATTCCTGGAGCAAGGACAGTCTATTCAATAAATGGTGCTGGGAAAATTGGATTTCCACGTGCAGAGCATGAAGCAAGACCCCTACCTTACACCTTACACAAAAATCCACTCAACATGGATTAAAGACCTAAATCTACATCCTGACACCATCAAGTTATTAGAGAACATTGGAGAAACCCTTCAAGATATTGGCACAGGCAAAGAATTTCTGGAAAAGACCCGGGAGGCACAGGCAGTCAAAGCCAAAATCAACTATTGGGATTGCATCAAATTGAGAAGTTTCTGTACTGCAAAAGAAACAGTCAGGAGAGTGAAGAGACAACCGACAGAATGGGAAAAAATATTTGCAAACTATGCAACAGATAAAGGGTTAATAACCAGAATCTACAAAGAGGTCAAGAAACTCCACAAAAACAAAACCAACAACCCACTTAAGAGATGGGCCAAGGACCTCAATAGACATTTTTCAAAAGAGGAAATCCAAATGGCCAACAGGCACATGAAAAAATGTTCAAGGTCATTAGCAATCAGGGAAATGCAAATCAAAACCACAATGAGGTTTCACCTCACCCCGGTTAGAATGGCTCACATGCAGAAATCTACCAACAACAGTTGCTGGAGAGGATGTGGGGAAAAACGGACACTAACCCACTGTTGGTGGGAATGCAAACTGGTCAAGCCACTATGGAAGTCAGTCTGGAGATTCCTCAGAAACCTGAAGATAACCCTACCGTTCGACCCAGCCATCCCACTCCTTGGAATTTACCCAAAGGAATTTAAATTGGCAAACAAAAAAGTGGTCTGCACCCTAATGTTTATTGCAGCTCAATTCACAATAGCTAAGACCTGGAACCAACCTAAATGCCAATCAACGGTAGACTGGATAAAGAAATTATGGGATATGTACTCTTTAGAATACTATACCGCGGTAAGAAACAATGAAATCCAGTCATTTGCAACAAAATGGAGGAATCTGGAACACATCATGCTGAGTGAAATAAGCCAGTCCCAAAGGGACAAATACCATATGTTCTCCCTGATCGGTGACGACTGACTGAACACCAAGAGGGAAACCTGTTGGAGTGAGGTGGACACTATGGGAAACGGTGGCTTGATCAGCATAGCCCTGACTGTTAATGAACAACTTAATACATTATCCCTCTTAGTAGTTTTTTTTTATCTGTTCTACTTAATATGACTGGTTTAGTTCTGTAATTGATGCACAGTTATTCTTAAGTGTTGAAAATTAACTGAAATGTGATCCCTGTTGAACATGGGAGTGGGAATG